CCGGCTCGCTCAGGATGCCCGGGGATGTCCAGGTCCTAGTTCCTGGACCCTGCGCCACGGACCCCACATGGCAAAAGGGACTCTGCAGGAGGGATTGAAGATCCTGAGATGGGAGATGACCCTGGGTTACCTGGGGGCCATATATAATGTGGTCTTTATAAAGAGCCTGGAGGGGCAGAGCCCAGACAGAAGGGGGGCAGAGGGAAGGGGGTGCAGGGCCCTGCCGGAGCCAGGGCTCAGGCAGCCACCCAGGAGCCCCCACCCACCCCCACCAGCCTCCACAGCCTTCTGATGATGAGACCCATTTGACTTCTCACCTCCAGGACAGTAGAGAAAACTACGTGCTGTTTCTGGTCATTTGTTCAGCAGCCCTGGGAATCCCGAGGCACCAGGGTCCAGTCCCAAGGGTGCAGGTGGAGCCAGCTGGGATCCCAACTCCCAGAGACAAGGGCCCCATTCTCTGTCCCCCGCAATGCCAGGGACACTAAGCCCTCAATAAAATGGCCTTGGGGGAAACTGGGCGGTGTCTCCCCTCCTCTCCTGCCAGCCAGGCCCGCCAGGGAACAGGCCCCGCCTCCCACCACCTCTGGCCCCCCAACACTCTGTTGCCCGTGACACCCAGCATTCTGGGGTCTACCGCCCAGCAGCCAATTGGCTGGCGGCCCTCCTGGAGCCTCAGTTTCCCCTGAAGATGCTGGCCTGGAGCAGAGGGAGGGCGGAGGCCTGGGCAGGTTTGGGCGGGGGGGCAGAGGTGGCCCAGGCCTGTCTCCCCCACTTCCTCCCCGACTCCAATTAAGGTCCTCAAGGCTAATCGCTGCGGTTGACTCGCTCCTGGCCTGCCTCCCCAGCCTGTCCTTTGTCCCCGTAATTGGCTATCTCCAGGCGCTTTTCTCTGCTCCCACCTCCCTGCCCGTCCCATATCCCAGGTCCAACTATGTGCTAATTGGGCACTTGGGGGGCACAGGAAGCCCCCTCCGCTCCCTGCTCCCCGCCTGCCTATATCAGCCCCACCTGCCGCTCCCTCAAACCTCAGGTCGAGAGCCCGGGAGGTGGAGCCGGCTCAGGGTCCAGAGGGAGCCCTCAGCCTAATTCCGGGGCCACCGCCCCTCCCTCCTCACAGATTTGGGGGGCGCTTTCCAGACCACCCCACAATGCACCCTGGGGCCCCCACAGGCCCTGGGGTGTCCGAGCCCGGCCCCAAGAGCTGTGTGCCTTCGTGAGCGGGGCGGCCGCCCACCTGCTGCGGGCCCTGCAGCCCCGGCGCTCGCGGCCCCCCAAGAGGAGGCCCAACCACAGGAGGTTTCTGCACAACCAGATCTGCAGGTGAGGGGCTGGCGGGGCCAGAGGCGGGTGGGTGGGGGAGAAGCCAGAGCCCTCGGTTTGGGGAGACCTGGCTCAGACAGAACAGAGAGGAGCAGACCCCAGGATGGGATGCTGGCAACATTCACATGCATTTATGGAGCTCCTGCTGTGTGCCAGGCCTGTGCCAGGCCCTGGAGCCCCCTCCTTGAGCAAAGCAGATAAAACTCCCTGCTTTCAGCCCGGCGCGTGGCTCACGCCTGTAATCCTAGCACTCTGGGAGGCCAAGGCGGGCGGATCGCTCGAAGTCAGGAGTTCGAAGCCAGCCTAAGCAAGAGCGAGACCCCGTCTCTACTATAAATAGAAAGAAATGAATTGGCCAACTAATATATACAGAAAAAATGAGCCGGGCATGGTGGCGCATGCCTGTAGTCCCAGTTACTTGGGAGGCTGAGGCAGAAGGATTGCTTGAGCCCAGGAGATTGAGGTTGCTGTGAGCTAGGCTGACACCATGGCACTCTAGCCTGGGCAACAGAGCAAGAGTCTATCTCAAAAAAAAAAAAAAAAAAAGATAGTATCAGATGTCAGGTTCAGCTGATTTTCACTGATTTATTTAAGAGCCAAAAATATACTTTTTATTATGGTAAAATACATAGGACATACAATTCACCATTTTGACCATTTTATTTTATTTTATTTTGTTTTCCATCTTCTCAGAGCAAGGAATTTTGACCATTTTAAAGTGTACAGTTCATGGCCTGTGATATTCACAGTGTGTTGCAGCCATCACCTCTATCTAGTTGCAAAAAGTTGTCATCACCCCTAAAGGAGACCCCATATCCCTTAAGCAATCACTCCCCGTTTCCCCACACCCCTCCCCCACCCCCAGCCCCAAGAAACCACTCATTTGCTATCTGTAGGGATTTGCCTGTTCTGGATATTTCCTACAAACAGAATCATATGACATGAGATATATTTTTAAATAAACCTTTTCATGGATGTTTAACATACATACAGGAAAAAAAATGCATACACATCATCAATGTATTTGACCTTTAAAAGAGCAAAAGAAAAAATAAAAGAAAAGAAAAACATCGTCAATGTAGGGCTCGATGATTTTTCCCAAAGGGAACCCCTTAGTCTAACTAACATTCACACCCAGATCACAGCATTTCTTGTCTCCAGAGGCCCTCCTGGTAGTTCCTTCCCACCAACCACCGCGTTCTGATTTCTCTCCCCATAGATTGGGTTAGCTTGTTTTTGAACTTTAAATAAACGGAGTCACGCAGCCACTACGTGTGAGTGGCACTGATTCCGATCAACCTTCGGTCTGTGTGTGAGTTTGCTCGGGCTGCCACAGCCAAGTTCCACTGCCACTGCGTGGCTTACACAACACACACTTATCTTCCCAGGGTTCTGGAGCTAGAAGGTGAAGATCAAAGTGCCAGCAGGGTTGGTGGCTTCTGAGGCCCCCCTCCTTGGCTTGCAGATGGCCATCTCTTCCCTGTGTCCTCACATGGCTGTCCCTCTGTGTGTGTGCCTATGTCCCAATCTCTTCTTTGTTTTTTTTTTTGATTGGCCGCAACGGCGCATGCAAGGGGCGGGAGGAGGGGCAAAGACAGCGGCGGCGTGTGATTGGCCAGAAGGAAACGGGGGCGGAGCTTGGCGAAGCATCGATTGGTGGCTCGTCTGGGTGGGCGGACGCGACGGTGCCAGGAAGCTGGCCACGTGCCGCTATAGAGTCAACACGGTGACCCTGCAGGGAACGCGGGAGGGCCTATAGCGGAGGAAGTCCGAGCGCCCAGAGGTGAGTGTCCCCACCGGCCGCCGGAGGGCGCCCGGCTGGGCTCCGAACGTGGCACTTCGGGTAGTCCCGTTGCTCACCCACGCTGCTTGGAGACCGACGCTACCGTCGCAAATGGGGGAACTAGGCTTGCGTCCAGGCCGTCGCGCCAAGATCCCAGCCCGAGCCAGGAATTGGCTGGCAGGACTCGAACCGTCCACGCGCGGCGCCGGCGCCACCCGCCTTCCTGTATCGTATCAGCCGTGAAGGGTTAGTCTCGCGTTTCATCTGAGGAGGAAACTGAGGCTGCAGAGCAGAGACTGAGCTTGCCAAGGTCCACCAACCAGAAGCTCGCGCGAGATCCAGGTTCTGGGTCCCCCGACCAGATGGAGAAGATACGCATCCTACACCCTTCCCCAGGTTGCCCGCCACACCTCCAGCCGCTCCCTTTGGCCTTGGGCACCTCAACCCAGGACTGAACTTCCTTCCACTCCTATGAGCGGCCCAAAACCGGTCTCCAGCCCAGAGCTCGCCCCGCCTCGTACACACACCTTCCCCCCCCCCCACATACATCTCGCTTAAGTTTTTCATGTCCCCCACCAAACAGTTCCTCCCAAGCTTCCCGACTTCAGGTCATGCCCCCTCACCAGTGCACGCAGAAGGACCTGAGGGATCTCTTCCCGTTACCTCCGACGCCCACTGCTCCCCACATTTCTCCTGTCCTGGCCCCTCGCCGTCTGTCTCCCTGTCGCGGGCTTGGACCATTAGCCCAGCCT